TCAGTGTTGTGTACCAACAACGAGGTATCCAGAAACTTCGATGTTAATCTTTGGACCACTAATGAGAGTTGATGTCTAACTGTAATCAAGTCTCTATCTCGTATGAGGGATTCGGAAAAAAAAAAAAAAAAAAAAAAAAAAAAAAAAAAAAAAAAAAAAATATTTCCCTTATCTAAGTTTCTAATGATGATCAGCTAAGATCAGTTTTTGATTTAAAATAAGAAAAATTTACTATTTCCCAGAAATTCCCGTATGTTAATGAAAAGTTATTGTTATACGAATCAATACGTGAATATTTCAAAAAACAGTATTCGTTACAGATTATTCTCATTTGGATTTTCATTAGAAACCAAGAAACATAAGGGATATAGTAGTTTCATCCTAGTATACGAGCTTCATAACCCAAATTCAGTTAACCAGTGATTTACCAGAACAATATGTATCTATGTGGTGTGAGCTACTTATAAGTAGTATATGACGTGAGCGTCAACGTACTGTCTGGTAGCAGAAGATGGGGGAAGATCAAAAAAAGGAAGAGCGAGAACACAATGGGATTTGTATGAAACGCATGAATAGTGACAATGGATTGGTGTTTTGCAACAGGAACAGTCCAATTCGATATGATGAACTGATATTTTACAAATGAACGATTTACGATATGGTTTTCCTATTTCACTGAGTGACTCTGTAATTTTCGTTTCCCTACCTGTGTTCTCGTTCACTACACCTGAGGATTCAGTGAGAGTTAATCATTTGGTAGAGTCTGAATATACCAACAGATAAGCGATTATCATTATTAGTAATAAACTTTCAATCGATTGAAAGTGATACGATACTATCGGAAATAGATTTAATAGTTCTAAATAGTTAACCATTCATTGTTACACCCAAAAAATGTACTTCGTTTGAACCTAATGGGTTTTATGTATGCACACTACTGAAGAGCTCTATACGAAAGGATGAAACAGTTGATGAGATATTTCTGAAATTATTTAAAGAATTATCTAACTGAGGTGGTTGGGGCATGTGATACGTATGCCCAACTACCGACTCTCTCGACAAGCGGTGTTTTTTCATGTAGGGGTAGTCTGGAAGAAAACTAGGGACGGCTAAAAAAAAAAACTAATCCATGAAGTCATTGACAAGTGAACTGAATCATGTTAGTAAGTGTAGACTACCTAGTTGGGGTCCGCGAGGTGTTAGTAATCGATGGTTTGAGACCCTGAATGACATGGCTCGCTAACCGTTTGCAATGGTGCAGGTGCAGTCATTCTCTGTGTTATCTCAAATCCTAAACTTTTTAATTCCTCATCACTTTATCTTTTTAAGTCTATTTTACTAGATTCTACTTCTTGGATAATATCTACGAACCCTAATCTTCTACATTACTGCTAATAATTCTACTATCTCTACCAACATGAGATATGGAAATGACAGTTGCATCTTTTGAGCTAATGTGGTATGGTAACTCGAACTAATGTACGTACATACAGACGAGTGTTTACATTGTAACTGAATGTTATCATAATGAGAATAAAATTGACATTACTTCACTAACATAAACACCAATAAGAAATTCACACAATCAATCCCTAAATTTCACTTAATCTATTTAAAAGCCAAATAGGAATTTTACTTCGAGTTAGATAGTGGCTGGATATGCAAAACATATTTTCTGGTCGATTCAATTGATGATTCACAGATTTATCAACCAGTCTTTATCTATTTTCCCTACATTTGGTCATGTCTGATAAATCTATCAAATACAAGCAATTTTTTGAATGTATTGATATCTATGCAAACTTCCTTGGTATGAAAGGTGTTAGTGTCATTGAAATTGGTGAAACTTGATTTGGTCACACTAAGTGGGCACTTCTAGGAGAGAATCAGTTATATTGAGGCCAAATGTAGTGAGTGAGAACACAGGTGGAGGCAACGGAATTGTATTTAATGAAAATTACAGAGTTACTCAGTAAAATCGGAAAACCATATCGTAAATCGTTCATTTGCAAAAGATCAGTTCATCCTATGGAACTGGACTGTTCCTGTTGCCAAACATCAATCCATTGTCACTCTTCATGCGTTTCATACAAATTCCATTTTTTTCTGACTCTAAATTCCTTGATCTTCCCCCCATATTATGCTACCAGACTTTACGTTGACACTCACGCTATATACTACTTATAAGTAGTTCGCACCACAGCACCACACTCGTCCCCCCTTTTAATAAGCTGTCGTCGCAGTCTTTCTGATCTCCGTACAGCCGTCTTCTTCATCAGTGTTTGTGGCTCGCCCTCTTGGCGCACTTGGAACCACCTTTGGAGTTCACTGGCATTCACGCGTTTCTGTTTGTTTCCTTTCTGGATCGTATACACTGCGCCGCGCCTCTCGGTGACGACGTACGGTCCCTCCCACTTCGGGATCAGCTTACCTGACCCTGGCCCTCTTCCTGTGGTATATTTCCGTTCTCTACACTTCACCTGATCTCCCACTTCAAACAATCTCCAGTTCTTTCTCTCCTGTTCTGACTTTTCCATGTCTGATGTTTGTTTCTCTCTCACATTCCTGATTGCTTGTCTCCGCTCTGTTCTCAGTCTTGTTGTATTCCATCTCTGTTGTTGCGGCCAGGTTTTATCATGCGTTGGTAGTCTCGGCCGTCTGCCGTACATCAGCTGGAACGGTGACTTCCTGGTTGTTCCCTGTGCCGAGGCACGATGTGCCAGCAAGATTAATGGTAATTCTTTCTCCCAGTCACCCCCTTTAGATGCTAGCCATTCCTTTAGCGTTCGGTTATTCCTTTCCGTTAACCCATTCGTCTGTGGATGATACGGCGTTGTTCGTACTCTCTTGATACCTAACTGCTTTAGACGGGACTTGAACTCATCACTCTCGAAACAGGGACCTTGATCGGTTAATATTATCTTTGGTATCCCATGGTCCGCCACAATGTGCCGCATTACCGCTTCCGTCACCGTCCTTGCACGTTGGTCCGCCATCGGCACGGCATTTACCCATCGTGTGGCATGCTCAGTCATCACCAGCAGGTACTGGTTACCACTTGTCGTCTGCGGGAACGGTCCCATAACATCTACTGACCACAAATCACCAACTGCTGTTACTGGAATTGACTGCAATGGCGGTCGTATGCATCGATCTCCTTTCATTAGTTGACATCGCTGGCACGCTAATACATATCGTGCAACATCGTCTCTCATACCTGGCCAGTACGCACTTTGTCGCAGCAAATCAGTTGTCCGTGCAATACCTGTATGCGCTACCTGGTGACATTCACGAATCATCTCCTGGCGCAGATCTTTTGGGATTATTGCTACCCAATTCTCGTCATCATCCCGCCAGGTCAAGGCTCCGTATCCGTTCACTCTCAGTCTCTCCTTCTGCCTCAGCAACACTGTTAATTCTTTATCTGTTCTACTCTTGTCAACATCTTCTCCCTCTTTTATCACTCTGATTACCTCCCGAAGGTTAGGGTCGGCTTTCTGATGTCGGACGAGTTCTAGGGGGTCTCCCTCTAGGCCGTTAACTGCACACGCTATCGTATCAGGAGCAAGTGTATGTTTAATGCATATCAAAAGCACATGAGTTTTTACTGCATATATATGTCATGACATACATATAAGCATACTTACTCCAGTGGTCAATTATACATTACACGCATATAGGAAACACACAATGTCTCACCCATGTATTTCTTGATATTCACACAAGCATAACTACGTATCGAGATGAACGTAATTCCTAACACAGACAGTCTCTCATGCGTTACATGAATACCACTGGTACTCAGGCTTTCGCCTAAACACTTCACAAACATTTCTAATAGGGTGTTAAAGGTCACTACATTTTGGAAGAGAATTTAGACGTATATCATACAGTTTAGAATTAGTCAGGACGACAGTCAACTACAACGCAGAACTTGGTACGTATGTACACCGGTTCAAGTTGCCATACCACCACATTTGTGCAACGAGATCAAACTGACAATTCCAATCCCATACTAGTAAAGGTAGTAGAAATATTAGCGGTGATGGCAAAGATTAGTGATCGAAGATATCCTTATAAAAGTGTATCCCAGTGAAATAAATTTAAAAAGACAAAAAAAACTACTTTCAGAGAAGACAACGAATGGATGCATCTGTGTAATTGCAACCAATCTTAAGCCATCTCGTCATAGGTCTCTCACTATCGGTTACTATCATCTCACTGTCCCCAACCAGGTAGTCTACACTTACCAACATGACTCAGTGCAGTTGTCAGTAACTTCATGGATTTGTTCCATGTTTTGTTCTGGCCGCCTTTATGTTTCTTCCGGACTACCCCTACATCACAAAACATCGTTCACTCAGGCAGTCGGTAGTTGAGCAACCTAGCTCAATCAAGTAAATTTTTGGACAAAAGGATATTATTTGAAGAAATAAGCGTTTAGTTTAAGTTTTTTTCGTATTTAGGACGTGTCGTTAACTGGATTTACTTGCATCCTAGAGTTGGGACTCGAACCCACACCGAACGATACAACCACACCCTATAAATGCAACAAACTACACTATAATCCACAAGTCAATAGTAGTTAAGTGGAGTAATGAGTAATGACGTACTAGTAAATGGATAATGAGTTTGAATTTCAAACTAAATATCAACTTTGTTATGTAACTGATATATTCAGCTAATCAATCTCAAACTAGAACGAACCAGTCATCCATCCAATGGCCTTCAGGTGTCCAATTATCAATCTAACATTGAACATTTAATAATTGAAATTCAATTTTCCCATCAAATAAAAATCTATGCTGTGCACTTACCAGACCATGGTTTATGACAAATTTTACATTGAATTCTTTTCAAATCATTCACAGTTGAATTAGTTGAATGAATACAATTCATGCATAAAGCATGTAAATAACGACATTGTCTAGTTGATGCATAATTTGTTGAATACTTAGATGATATATTACTACTGGTATTAGTAGTAGTATTAGTAGTACTACTATTACAACTACCAGTAGTTTGATTTGAACCTGCACAGCCAATTGCACCAGTATTAATTAGATTATGCTGTGTTGAATTCAACTGTTGTCTTGGTCCAAGACAACCAGAAGGCGGTGAGATAATTTTCAATGGAGCTAATAATTTCAAAGCAATTTGATTGATCGACTGATGATCATTAGTGGATGAAATTATATTGTTACCACTATTACTACTACTGTTATCCGAGTTGTTAGTAGTATTGTGTGTACGATGAATATGTTGTTGAACAGATTGATTTTGTATACCATTTGTATGCCATGTAATACGTAGACCACCACCTTTACGATAACCTTCATTAGAACGATGACATAATGGACTGATGAAGAATATACCATTAATAACAGGGAAATGATCATAAATGGATAAGATTTGTTGACATGCTAGACAGTATACTTCGGAAACTCGATGGTTGGTTAGTTGAGCTAAAAGAAATGCACGTGTATCTTCATTACCAGTACAACTGTCATCATCCATTTGAATAAAATATGCATTTTGTTTATAAGTTGGTAAATTCTGAGAGAGAGAAAAAAATGTGTAGAATATTTTATAAAATTACTATTATTGACCTATATAATAAGTTTCATAAATCATGAATCGATCATAGTTAGACCATCGTTAGAAACCTGGAAGTACTAGACGACCGTGTCGTCCTGGTATGGGACTACTCATCGGCGGTGTGCGTCCACAACCCAAGGACCGTCAACCTTGCACGCGAGAAGCTTAATCTCTGAACTGGCTGGTATCCAACAGTATTCATGTCTAACTTGGATCAGTCTAAAAATTTTGCACAACCTCACACCTATTGTCTACCGTAGGTAACTGCCTACATACGATAGGATTGGACTTCACTAGCTACATATGTGGTGCGTGCTACTTATAAGTAGTATATGACGCGAGTGTAAACGTAATGTCTGGCAGCAGCAGAAAAGGATGGGGGAAGATCAAGAAAGGAAGAAGAGTGGGAACACAATGGAATTTGTATGAAACGCATGAATAGTGGTGAAATGTCAGATAATGGATTGATGATGGATTGAAGATTTGCAAATTAACGATTTACGATATGGTTTTCCGATTTTACTGAGTAACTCTGTAATTTTCGTTAAATGCAATTCGGTTGCCCTCATCTCTGTTCTCCTTCACTACACATCTTCTCCCTAGAACTTTGAGGATTTTCTTTCAAAGCTAGCCACTACTGAGTAGCAGATGCTTCCAAGTTTCTTATTGTGGTCTAACAAGGATTCATTCATGATTGTAATGTGTAAAACAATAATCTCTATAATACTATAATGCGAAATTAAATTTATGTAAAAATAACATGTGAATGGAAAATTCTAAACTGATCATTAGTAGTAATCATGCATCATACAATAGAACGATTGTTCAACATAGAATGTCATAACATTCGTAAATTCAGATGTTGGATAAATGATAGATAGTGATAACATTAACATTTGTCTCTAGGCACGCCATACTGAGGATCCGTTGGCCAAACATCATCAGCAACAACAGCCTAATGGGGGAGAGAACAAACCAGATTCCATGCTCAATGTTCACGTCTTCCCACTAGAAACCGGAGAAGATTCCTCACGAAGCTAGTGACTAGTGAGCACAGGTAATTTGCATTACGGAGTTGTGAAGATTGTTAAGTTACACATTTTTTGAAACCATGAATCGAATCCTGCGGGGTGCAGGAATCGTGGATGCGCACTGCTGATGAGTTCTATACCAGGACGAAACGGCCGTCTGTCAATGCTTCCAGGTTTCTAATGGTGGTCTAACATTGATCGATTCATGGTTTCAAAAAATAGAAATACTGAGTCATGCTTCAGTGCATGGAGTTGATTCGCTCGTCCTTTTCCACTTCGCTTCACATTGCTTGTATGCTTCTCATTCTGATGTCTGTCTGAATAGAATAAATTCATCCGCAAAATTGTATTTCGCTTCTTACTGCCGAGCCCATAGAGCTTGATGCAGTCTTTGAACAAAATACATAATCCATTCCTCTTGAGTTACTCAAATGTCTTTTTACCTGGCCAATTATTCGCTCATACGTTGGTCGTTTTTATTCGAGTATGTCACATGTCTAGCTTATATTTGTCTGACTAGAAATACTGATTTTTTGAAACCGTGAGTCGATCAGTGTTAAACCACCATTGGAAACCTGGAAGCCCTGGACGAACGTTTCGTCCTGATGCTGGGCTCATCAGCAGTGCGCATCCACGACTCATGCACCCCGCAAGATTCGAACCCAGGACCTTCGGTTTTGAGCGCGAACGCCCCAACCGTTAGACCACTGAGCCGGCATTTGACAGTGTTGATGTATAACTTGATCTAATTCACGCAGTTGCGCAACCTCATACACAGTCTTCGGTAGTTACCGTCTACACCTGAACAGGTTAAACTTCACTGGTCACGTCTTCCCACTAGAACTCGGAAAAGTTTCCTCACGAAGCTAGTGACTAGTGAGCATAGGTAATTAATTGCATTATGTGATTGTGAAGATTGTTAAGTTACACATTTTTTGAAACCATGAATCGAATCCTGCGGGGTGCAGGGATGAGATGGAAGGGAGAATTTATTTGACGGATTGTATATTCGACCGTTTGAGCAAACTGGAGTCAGATCGCGAGCCACTCAAGATACATATCACGGAAATCAACCAACTGAGTCACAAGACAAACCCTAACATGGAATTCTAAATGCCAAAACAAAAGAAGTAGACCAGAGAGCACTACGCCGAGGATTCAAAACAGACATGAAAAGAATGAAAAGTAATTGGACAGATCTGAAAAAGAAATCCCAGGACAAAGTTGGATGGAGAATACTGGGCGGTAGCCTATTCTCTATGCGTAAGTAAATCATTAAGTAAGCATAAATCTTATAAGAAATAGAGAAGGAGATAGGGAGAGACAAAAGTTTCCTTTTAAAACATTTACGATCATTGAACACTAAATTTTATCGTTCATGAAACTCAAAATACATTTTTACAATTGATCAATGTTAATTTTTTCAGTTAGAGTTTTGGAGATTAGTGACTTTACATATTTGAAATCATCAATCAATCATTGTTAGACCACCATTAGAAATATGTAAGCACTGGACGGCCGTTTCGTCCTGGTATGGGACTCATCAGTGGCAGTGCGCATTCACGATTCCTGTACCTCGTAGGATTCGAACCCGGGACCTTCGGTATTGTGCGCGTACGCCTAACCATCGGACCACTGGGCCGGCATCCCATACCAGGATGAAACGGTCGTCCAATGCTTACGGGTTTCTAATGGTGGTCTAACAATGATTGATTGATGATTTCTAATTTTTTCAACACTGAATTTAAAAAAGAGAAATCATTTCATTGAGACATTTTTTACTGAAATTTAATAATATTGGTTAGAATGTCAGATCATCTTTTGGTATTTTTGAAACCTAACATTTTCTAGGTTAGCACATGGGATTCTAGTGGGGTGGCTACTGCTACTACTCACAACATGAATTCTAAGCAGTATACATTAGAGTGTCGCCCAGAAGTTACTAACAGAGCGAAGAGTGTCAGAACCAGATGCTTAGTGCAATCAAAATGTTTTAAAGAATGTTTTAGAGATTTGAATTAATCTATTGACAAAACTTTTCAAATCATTGTTAATTTACTCATGTCATTATCAACTTTATCATGATCGAATTCGATGAACTAAGATTACAGTTATAAATAGTATTCATTTCAATCGGACGTTAGTTGAAGGGTGCAAATAGGATCCGAATCGCAGTTCAGCGTTATCAAAATAAAGATGGTTACTTACTGATCGAAGTGAATTCACTGAAGTTATTGATCGCTTTACCACAAGATCTAAAAGTCCTAGAAACAATATTTTTCAACGTAGTTTTATAAAATGCACTTCTGATGAATCACTGAAGATGAACAAAACACCTGTCCATCGCTTCTAGACTGTCAGTAGTATCCTAACTTTTTATCAGTTTATAAGCCATACTATCAACTAATAAAATTACTCTCAATCAAATTGTTATAATGTTCAGTGTCTGAAATCTGAACGCGATAAGTGGAACCCAAACAAACTAGCCACTTGAGCTAGATAGCAAGAGCAGAAGAGAAAGTTTATTTGGCTACCGAATCATATATAATACTCGTCTATAGATGTATTCCACCACGTTAGAAAATGAATGCATTTCTTAACCAATCATATGTATTCAACCTTAAGGACATCTTTCTAATGGTCACTTAGATGACCTTGTCATAAATGACTTCTGATTGGCTCATTATATCATCAACGATTTGTTCATTAAATCCAGTTATAGTTATACTTACTGTGAATACATTGAAATCATTCCGTTGTAAAAATATATTTCCTTTAGTATTGATAACCTTTTTCATTTTCATTTCAATATTACTATAAGTATTATTATTAGTAGTATTGTTACTATTATTTTGCCAATGAGACATTCTCGATTTACCAATTAACTCATTCGATGTTACTGTATTCAACTTGACATTCGAATGACAAGTAGTATTTGTAGTAGTTGTTGCGGTAGTAGTATTGTTGGTACTTCCAATACTTGTAGAATTATTGTTTGCAGAACTATCAGATATGGAATGATGACGTCGACTACCAATAGCTGAAAGTGGTCGATTATTCATCACAGGATTCATATTGTTGTTATTTTCATTATGATTACTACTACTTATATTAGGATTTACAGTAGTATCTAAACTTGTATCAAATAAATCGTCGGAATCGACAGTTGTTGAATAATAATTCTTTCTAGTTGTTGATATTGTTGTTGTGGTTGGTGTTGCTGCTGTAGGCATAGACGAATCAGTCGGCCGTTTGATAACATCAGCTAATGTAGATGCTTCATCTTTGTACAATAAGGAAAAAAAGGAGTTTAGGTGAAATAATTTACAAAAAATTATATTTTACACTATCTAATATTGTATTTATTAGTAATATTTTGATCCTCTTTCAAAAATTTTAGAGGATATTGTATATTACACTATCAATGTAATGGATACTACTCATTAGGGAGTAAATGAGTAGTAAGCATTGAGATGTCATCTAGAAGCCGCTACTGAAGAGAACAGAGTATCAGCAAATGAAAGTACATGGCATAATCGGTGCTGAAAGATAGTCACTAACCTGCTTAGATTGCTAAACATGTTGACAAATATCAGTAAGATGAGAATCTAAATTTTGAAATGAGTCCTATTGTAGCGGACGCTACTCACAACTTGGCTTATAAGTAGTATACATTAGAGTGCAGATGTGACCACTGAACAAAGGAATATCAAATTCAAGTGTTTAGAAGATGTAAAAACATGTCCAAAAAAAGACAGTCAATAAAACGATCCCATTGAAGATTATGTGTACATATTCTGTAAATCTCAAATCTGCTTCTATTCCAGCAAATCAAGTTTCGTTAACTACGGCTTACTAAGGTCTAAGGTATATTTTTCTACTCAAACATTCAGAATGATACTTATGATAAACTCTAGCTTAAACTAACACAGTTAAACAGAAGAAAAGAAGTTAACTTTTCAAAAAAACGAGGGTATGACAAACCGAACAACTTGGATAGATCACACGCTGTCAGAGTGTCACATGATATCTGACAGATCCAAGTGTTGACAGGCTATGAGGAATTGACATAACATTTACACGCTCAAGGTCACCAGGCATACGTCCTTGACTGGCTTAGATACGGGTATTCTATGCAGATTGCTTCAACGTGTAGCCATTATGACACACGTTTACATAGAATAACTAGGAAATGATTATCTATGAAATCCAAGATATGCGACAGTGTTTCTAGCAAGTAGTCAGTCGGTTAGATGCAACGTAGAACTTCGTACGTAAGTACATCAGTTCATGTTGCCATATTACATTAGCACAGAGACGCAACTGTCAATTCAAATCCCATAATGGTAAAGATAGTAGGAGTACGAGTAGTAATAGAGAAGATTAGACTTCCAAGATATTATTCAAGAAGTATAATTCAGTGAAATAAGTTTAGAAAGACAAAGCAAGCAGTACGTGGTCCGAGTCCCTCAGTGAACATCAACTCTGAGATATGACAACTACTTCCAATTGACAAGTTCCGCATAAAACGAAACACCTAGCCTGCATTCAACTACTAGCCACATTCTATCATCATCATCAATCAATAAACAAGTAAAAAACAAACAAATTCGATTATTTTGGGGCAGGAGTCGTGGATGCGCATTGCCACTGATGAGTCCCATACCAGGACGAAACAGCCGTCCAGTGCTTCCAGGTTTCTAATGGTGGTCTAACAATGATTGATTGATGCTTTCAAATGTGTAAATTCGATTATGTAACAGAAGAAATAAGAATATTTTCAAAAAAATCAATATTATTATTGGTGATTTTGTTAAAATTACTCACTTATACCAGTTGCTTTAATTAATGCTCTTGGTATTGACTGCCCTGTTTGTCCCCATGGTGGTATGCAAATGTTCTCATTGCCTTTCATAATCTCTTCATCTTTCATTGACAATATGAATTGATCATATGAATTGTTACTACAACGTCGACTAGAATCGACAGTATGTTCACCAGTTGATGGACCACTATGATATCCACTACTCAGACTACTTGATGTATTACTTGGTATGAATTTAGTAGTATTATTCGTTTCACGATTTAATGAAAATCTCCTATAAACATTGAAAACAAAGAAGAAAGATAATTAACACATGTTACACTTTTAAATAAAATGTACACTTTAGTATTCTGTTGCAAATGATTTTATTATTTTAAAAAATGATAAAAATTGAAGTGTGATGGATACTACTGGTAATATGGCTTATAAGTAGTATGCAGCAAAGTGTCGACCAGAAGTTAGTGCTGAAGAGAAAAGTTTCAGAATGCGATAAATGAGGCGATCAATGTGTTTTGAAATTATGGAAGACATGTGAAATAAGGTAACCAATCATAGTCTGTCATCGGAAATGTTGGTCTGAAGATAAAGTGTATACATTTTACTAGTAAACTATATCTTCCATCTGGTTTGAACATCTTCGCATATCACGAGGATATCCTATTCGACCAAAATGTATAAATACGCGATATTTATAACGTTTTATTACCACGACCAGGACCAGGACTCGGTCCCGGATCACTAGTCCCGGATCCTGATTCTCTCCTGGATTCGGACCTCGTACTTTTTGGATGCTTGTAGAATACAGGTTCTACTTCATATCAAGTATTGTCTTATTTTTACTCAATATGGGGGGGGGCTGGGATAATCGAATTTGAGTAGTATGTCGTGTCGCCGTATCCTTGATCCTCGCTCTCGTTTTCCGACTATGTAAACTCGTAATAGTTCAAGTGTATCAAGTTGACGTGTTTACAGATAACTTTTCTTAGTAGAAATATGAACTGAACTGAACTGTACGGTGGTGTGAGCTACTTATAAGTAGTATAGGACGTGAGTGTCAACGTAATGTCTGGCAGCAGAAGATGGAGGAAGATCAAGAAAGGAAGAGTTAGAAAACAATGGAATTTGTATGAAACGCATGAATAGTGACAATGGATTGATGTTTTGCAACAGGAACAGTCCAGTTCGATAGGATGAACTGTTATTTTGCAAATGAACGATTTACGATATGGTTTGCAAATTTTACTGAGTAACTCTGTAATTTTCGTTTAATACAATCCGGTTGCCCCACTTGTGTTCTCTTTCACTACAGTATTAGTGTGTGTAGTAGTAGCATTAGCGTGAGTAGTAGCAGTAGTAGTAGTATGAGTAGCAGTAGTAGTAATGTGAGTAGTAGTAGTAGTAGTATTAGTGTGAGTAGTAGTAGTAGTAGTAACAGTAGTAGTATAACAATAATTTACCTTAAAATATCACTGAATTGATCTGTAATCAATGGTGGTTGAACATAAGAATGTGACCTTCCAGTAGTTGTTGCTGTTGGTAATTTCGAATGAGATCTTGGTGATGATAACTCCATTGTTGGCGCTGATGTATTGTATGATTTACATGGATCCGATTGATGAATTGGATATTCAGATTGATTTAATTTCTCAGTTGCATATTGTATAGCGCATAAAACACTTGTAAATGGATTTGATGTTGTAGATGATAATGGCTGTGATGTTTGATCTAGAGGGTAATAAATGAATGACAGAGTGAATATTATTATTATTATTATTATATTACAGGGGTTGTGAATCGATCGATGTTTCTAGTGGTTTCTAGTGGTGGTCTAACATCGACCGATTCATGGTTTCAAAAAATGTGTAACTTAACAATCTTCACAACCCCATAATGCAAATTACCTGTGCTCACTAGTCACTAGCTTCTTCATAAGGAATCTTCTCCGAGTTCTAGTGGGAAGAAGTGACCAGTGAAGTTCAACCTGTTCGGGTGTAGGCAGTGTCTACCGAAGACTGTGTATGAGGTTGCGCAACTCCGTGAATTTGATCAAGTTAGACATTAACACCGTTAGACACCGGCTCAGTGGTCCGATGTTTAGGCGTTCGCCTACAATACCGAAGGTCCTGGGTTCGAATCCTGCGGGGTGCATGGGTCGGGGCCCACAGAGACACAGACCCTGCTGCATTGGAGAGTCCGCTCATAACCAGGACCGAAATACGGGCAACACGACTTCCAAGCTGTCTTCTACAGATGTGCACACACTAGAGCTTGGCTCATACACTATCGAGATCACCGACCTCGCACATGGTTTATACCCAACACAGATGAAGCACACGTTTGAAGACTTGCTTTTTACACATTTTCACACACGCCTCCTCCGTTGTTGTTGTTGTGCACGCACGAGGATTCACGTGGCCACTGGTAAACCATGAATCGATCGATGTTAGACACCATTAGAAATCTGGAAGCACTGGACGGCCATTTCGTCTCTGGTATGGGACTCCTCAGCAGCGCGCATCCACGACCCATGCACCCCGCAGGATTCGAATCCAGGACCTTCGGTATTGTAGGCGAACGCCTAAACATCGGACCACTGAGCCGGTGTCTAACGGTGTTAATGTCTAACTTGATCAAATTCACGGAGTTGCGCAACCTCATACACAGTCTTCGGTAGACACTGCCTCCACCCGAACAGGTTGAACTTCACTGGTCACTTCTTCCCACTAGAACTCGGAGAAGATTCCTTATGAAGAAGCTAGTGACTAGTGAGCACAGGTAATTTGCATTATGGGGTTGTGAAGATTGTTAAGTTACACATTTTTTGAATACCATGAATCGGTCGATGTTAGACCACCACTAGAAAACCACTAGAAAAATCGATCGATTCACAACCCCTGTAATATAATAATAATAATAATAATATTCACTCTGTCATTCAATTTATTACCCTCTAGATCAAACATCAGCGAGCCATTTATCATCTACAACATCAAATCCATTACAAGTGTTTTATGCGCTATACAATATGCAACTGAGAAATTAAATCAATCTGAATATCCAATCATCAATCGGATCCATGTAAATCATACAATACATCAGCGCCAACAATGGAGTTATCATCCACCAAGGATCTCATTCGAAATTACCAAAGAGCAACAACTACTGGAAGGTCACATTCTTATGTCAACCACCATTGATTACAGATCAATTCAGTGGATATTTTAAGGTAAATTATGTTATACTACTACTGTTACTACTACTACTACTACTCACACTAATACTACTACTACTACTACTCACATAATACTACTGCTACTCATACTACTACTTACTACTGCTACTACTCACGCTAATGCTACTACTACTACACACACTAATACTGTGTGAAAGAGAACACAAGTGGGGCAACCGGATTGTATTAAACGAAAATTACAGAGTTACTCAGTAAAATTTGCAAACCATATCGTAAATCGTTCATTTGCAAAATAACAGTTCATCCTATCGAACTGGACTGTTCCTGTTGCAAAACATCAATCCATTGTCACTATTCATGCGTTTCATACAAATTCCATTGTTTTCTAACTCTTCCTTTCTTGATCTTCCTCCATCTTCTGCTGCCAGACATTACGTTGACACTCACGTCCTATACTACTTATAAGTAGCTCACACCACCGTACAGTTCAGTTCAGTTCATAATTTCTACTAAGAAAAGTTATCTGTAAACACGTCAACTTGATACACTTGAACTATTCCGAGTTTACATAGTTCGGGAAAACGAGAGCGAGGATCAAGGATACGGCGACACGACCATACTACTCAAATTCGATTATCCAGCCTCCCCCCATATTGAGTAAAAATAAGACAACTACTTGATATGATAGTAGAAACCATGTATTCTACAAGCATCCAAAAAGTACGAGGTCCGAATCCAGGAGAGAATCAGGATCCGGGACTAGTGATCCGGGACCGAGTCCTGGTCCTTGGTCGTGGTAATAAAACGTTATAAATATCGCGTATTTATACATTTTGGTTCGAATAGGACTATCCTCGTGATATGCGAAGATGTTCAAACCAGATGGAAAGATATAGTTTACTAGTAAAATGTATACACTTATCTTCAGACCAACATTTCCGATGACAGACTATGATTGTTACCTTATTTCACATGTCTTCCATAATTTCAAAACACATTGATCGCCTCATTTATCGCATTCTGAAACTTTTCTCTTCAGCACTAACTTCTGGTCGACACTTTGCTGCATACTACTTATAAGCCATATTACCAGTAGTATCCATCACACTTCAATTTTTATCATTTTTATAAAATAATAAAATCATTTGCAACAGAAGACTAAAGTGTACATTTTATTAAAAGTGTAACATGTGTTAATTATCTTTCTTCTTTGTTTTCAGATGTTTATAGGAGATTTTCACTTAAATCGTGAAACGAATAATACTACTAAAATTCATACCAAGTAATACATCAAGTAGTCTGAGTAGTGGATATCACTAGTGGTCCATCAACTGGTGAACATACTGTCGATTCTAGTCGACGTTGTAGTAACAATTCATATGATCAATTCATATTGTCAACTGAAAGATGAAGAGATTATGAAAGGCAATGAGAACATTTGCATACCACCATGGGGACAAACAGGGCAAGTCAATACCAAGAGCATTAATTAAAGCAACTGGTATAAGTGAGTAATTTTAAACAAAATCACCAATAATAATATTGATTTTTTGAAAATATTCTTATTTCTTCTTGTTACATAATGCGAATTTACACATTGAAAGCATCAATCAATCATTGTTAGACCACCATTAGAAACCTGGAAGCCACTGGACCGGCTGTTTCGTCCTGGTATGGGACTCATTCAGTGGGCAATGCGCATCCACGACTCCTGCCCCAATATAATCGAATTTGTTTGGCTTTTACTTGTTTATTGATTGATGATGATGATAGAATGTCGCTAGTAGTTGAATACAGGTCAAGTGCTTCGTCTTAAGCGGAACTGGTCAAGTGGCAGTAGTTGTCATATCTCAGAGTTGATGTTCACTGAGGGACTCGGACCACGTACTGCTTGCTTTGTCTTTCTAAACTTATTTCACTGAATTATACTTCTTGAATAATATCTTGGAAGTCTAATCTTCTCTATTACTACTCGTACTCCTACTATCTTTACCATTATGGGATTTGAATTGACAGTTGCGTCTCTGTGCTAATGTAATATGGCAACATGAACTGATGTACTTACGTACGAAGTTCTACGTTGCATCTAACCGACTGACTACTTGCTAGAAACACTGTCGCATATCTTGGATTTCATAGATAATCATTTCCTAGTTATTCTATGTAAACGTGTGTCATAATGGCTACACGTTGAAGCAATCTGCATAGAATACCCGTATCTAAGCCAGTCAAGGACGTATGCCTGATGACCTTTGAGCGTGTAAATGTTATGTCAATTCCTCATAGCCTGTCAACACTTGGATCTGTCAGATATCATGTGACACTCTGACAGCGTGTGATCTATCCAAGTTGTTCGGTTTGTCATACCCTCGTTTTTTTGAAAAGTTAACTTCTTTTCTTCTGTTTAACTGTGTTAGTTTAAGCTAGAGTTTATCATAAGTATCATTCTGAATGTTTGAGTAGAAAAATATACCTTAGACCTTGCCGTAGTTAACGAAACTTGATTTGCTGGAATAGAAAGCAGATTTGAGATTTACAGAATATGTACACATAATCTTCAATGGGATCGTTTTATTGACTGTCTTTTTTTGGACATGTTTTTACATCTTCTAAACACTTGAATTTGATATTCCTTTGTTCAGTGGTCACATCTGCACTCTAATGTATACTACTTATAAGCCAAGTTGTGAGGTAGCGTCCGCTACAATAGGGACTCATTTCAAAATTTAGATTCTCATCTTACTGATATTTGTCAACATGTTTAGCATTCTAAGCAGGTTAGTGACTATCTTTCAGCACCGATTATGCCATGTACTTTCATTTGCTGATACTCTGTTCTCTTCAGTAGCGGACTTCTAGATGACATCTCAATGCTTACTACTCATTTACTCCCTAAATGAGTAGTATCCATTACATTGATAGTGTAATATACAATATCCTCTAAGAATTTTGAAAGAGGATCAAAATATTACTAATAAATACAATATTAGATAGTGTAAAATATAATTTTTTGTAAATTATTTCACCTAAACTCCTTTTTTTCCTTATTGTACAAAGATGAAGCATCTACATTAGCTGATGTTATCAAACGGCCGACTGATTCGTCTATGCCTACAGCAGCAACACCAACCACAACAACAATATCAACAACTAGAAAGAATTATTATTCAACAACTGTCGATTCCGACGATTTATTTGATACAAGTTTAGATACTACTGTAAATCCTAATATAAGTAGTAGTAATCATAATGAAAATAACAACAATATGAATCCTGTGATGAATAATCGACCACTTTCAGCTATTGGTAGTCGACGTCATCATTCCATATCTGATAGTTCTGCAAACAATAATTCTACAAGTATTGGAAGTACCAACAATACTACTACCGCAACAACTACTACAAATACTACTTGTCATTCGAATGTCAAGTTGAATACAGTAACATCGAATGAGTTAATTGGTAAATCGAGAATGTCTCATTGGCAAAATAATAGTAACAATACTACTAATAATAATACTTATAGTAATATTGAAATGAAAATGAAAAAGGTTATCAATACTAAAGGAAATATATTTTTACAACGGAATGATTTCAATGTATTCACAGTAAGTATAACTATAACTGGATTTAATGAACAAATCGTTGATGATATAATGAGCCAATCAGAAGTCATTTATGACAAGGTCATCTAAGTGACCATTAGAAAGATGTCCTTAAGGTTGAATACATATGATTGGTTAAGAAATGCATTCATTTTCTAACGTGGTGGAATACATCTATAGACGAGTATTATATATGATTCGGTAGCCAAATAAACTTTCTCTTCTGCTCTTGCTATCTAGCTCAAGTGGCTAGTTTGTTTGGGTTCCACTTATCGCGTTCAGATTTCAGACACTGAACATTATAACAATTTGATTGAGAGTAATTTTATTAGTTGATAGTATGGCTTATAAACTGATAAAAAGTTAGGATACTACTGACAGTCTAGAAGCGATGGACAGGTGTTTTGTTCATCTTCAGTGATTCATCAGAAGTGCATTTTATAAAACTACGTTGAAAAATATTGTTTCTAGGACTTTTAGATCTTGTGGTAAAGCGATCAATAACTTCAGTGAATTCACTTCGATCAGTAAGTAACCATCTTTATTTTGATAACGCTGAACTGCGATTCGGATCCTATTTGCACCCTTCAACTAACGTCCGATTGAAATGAATACTATTTATAACTGTAATCTTAGTTCATCGAATTCGATCATGATAAAGTTGATAATGACATGAGTAAATTAACAATGATTTGAAAAGTTTTGTCAATAGATTAATTCAAATCTCTAAAACATTCTTTAAAACATTTTGATTGCACTAAGCATCTGGTTCTGACACTCTTCGCTCTGTTAGTAACTTCTGGGCGACACTCTAATGTATACTGCTTAGAATTCATGTTGTGAGTAGTAGCAGTAGCCACCCCACTAGAATCCCATGTGCTAACCTAGAAAATGTTAGGTTTCAAAAATACCAAAAGATGATCTGACATTCTAACCAATATTATTAAATTTCAGTAAAAAATGTCTCATTGAAATGATTTCTCTTTTTTAAATTCAGTGTTGAAAAAATTAGAAATCATCAATCAATCATTGTTAGACCACCATTAGAAACCCGGAAGCATTGGACGACCGTTTCATCCTGGTATGGGATGCCGGCCCAGTGGTCCGATGGTTAGGCGTACGCGCACAATACCGAAGGTCCCGGGTTCGAATCCTACGAGGTACAGGAATCGTGAATGCGCACTGCCACTGATGAGTCCCATACCAGGACGAAACGGCCGTCCAGTGCTTACATATTTCTAATGGTGGTCTAACAATGATTGATTGATGATTTCAAATATGTAAAGTCACTAATCTCCAAAACTCTAACTGAAAAAATTAACATTGATCAATTGTAAAAATGTATTTTGAGTTTCATGAACGATAAAATTTAGTGTTCAATGATCGTAAATGTTTTAAAAGGAAACTTTTGTCTCTCCCTATCTCCCTCTCTATTTCTTATAAGATTTATGCTTACTTAATGATTTACTTACGCATAGAGAATAGGCTACCGCCCAGTATTCTCCATCCAACTTTGTCCTGGGATTTCTTTTTCAGATCTGTCCAATTACTTTTCATTCTTTTCATGTCTGTTTTGAATCCTCGGCGTAGTGCTCTCTGGTCTACTTCTTTTGTTTTGGCATTTAGAATTCCATGTTAGGGTTTGTCTTGTGACTCAGTTGGTTGATTTCCGTGATATGTATCTTGAGTGGCTCGCGATCTGACTCCAGTTTGCTCAAACGGTCGAATATACAATCCGTCAAATAAATTCTCCCTTCCATCTCATCTCTGCACCCCGCAGGATTCGATTCATGGTTTCAAAAAATGTGTAACTTAACAATCTTCACAACCCCATAATGCAAATTACCTGTGCTCACTAGTCACTAGCTTCGTGAGGAATCTTCTCCGAGTTCTAGTGGGAAGACGTGACTAGTGAAGTTCAACCTGTTTGGGTGTAGACAGTAACTACCGAAGACTGTGTATGAGGTTGCGCAACTCCGTGAATTTAATCAAGTTAGACATTAACACCGTTAGATGCCGGCTCAGTGGTCTAACGGTTAGGGCGTTCGCGCACAATACCGAAGGTCCTGGGTTCGGATCCTGCGGGGTGCATGAGTCGTGGATGCGCACTGCTGAGGAGTCCCATATCAGGACGTAACGGCCGTCTGTCAGTGCTTCCAGGTTTCTAATGGTGGTCTAACACTGATCGACTCACGGTTTCAAAAAATCAGTATTTCTAGTCAGACAAATATAAGCTAGACATGTGACATACTCGAATAAAAACGACCAACGTATGAGCGAATAATTGGCCAGGTAAAAAGACATTTGAGTAACTCAAGAGGAATGGATTATGTATTTTGTTCAAAGACTGCATCAAGCTCTATGGGCTCGGCAGTAAGAAGCGAAATACAATTTTGCGGATGAATTTATTCTATTCAGACAGACATCAGAATGAGAAGCATACAAGCAATGTGAAGCGAAGTGGAAAAGACGAGCGAATCAACTCCATGCACTGAAGCATGACTCAGTATTTCTATTTTTTGAAACCATGAATCGATCAATGTTAGACCACCATTAGAAACCTGGAAGCATTGACAGACGGCCGTTTCGTCCTGGTATAGAACTCATCAGCAGTGCGCATCCACGATTCCTGCACCCCGCAGGATTCGATTCATGGTTTCAAAAAATGTGTAACTTAACAATCTTCACAACTCCGTAATGCAAATTACCTGTGCTCACTAGTCACTAGCTTCGTGAGGAATCTTCTCCGGGTTCTAGTGGGAAGACGTGAACATTGAGCATGGAATCTGGTTTGTTCTCTCCCCCATTAGGCTGTTGTTGCTGATGATGTTTGGCCAACGGATCCTCAGTATGGCGTGCCTAGAGACAAATGTTAATGTTATCACTATCTATCATTTATCCAACATCTGAATTTTACGAATGTTATGACATTCTATGTTGAACAATCGTTCTATTGTATGATGCATGATTACTACTAATGATCAGTTTAGAATTTTCCATTCACATGTTATTTTTACATAAATTTAATTTCGCATTATAGTATTATAGAGATTATTGTTTTACACATTACAATCATGAATGAATCCTTGTTAGACCACAATAAGAAACTTGGAAGCATCTGCTACTCAGTAGTGGCTAGCTTTGAAAGAAAATCCTCAAAGTTCTAGGGAGAAGATGTGTAGTGAAGGAGAACAGAGATGAGGGCAACCGAATTGCATTTAACGAAAATTACAGAGTTACTCAGTAAAATCGGAAAACCATATCGTAAATCGTTAATTTGCAAATCTTCAATCCATCATCAATCCATTATCTGACATTTCACCACTATTCATGCGTTTCATACAAATTCCATTGTGTTCCCACTCTTCTTCCTTTCTTGATCTTCCCCCATCCTTTTCTGCTGCTGCCAGACATTACGTTTACACTCGCGTCATATACTACTTATAAGTAGCACGCACCACATATGTAGCTAGTGAAGTCCAATCCTATCGGATGTAGGCAGTTACCTACGGTAGACAATAGGTGTGAGGTTGTGCAAAATTTTTAGACTGATCCAAGTTAGACATGAATACTGTTGGATACCAGCCAGTTCAGAGATTAAGCTTCTCGCGTGCAAGGTTGACGGTCCTTGGGTTGTGGACGCACACCGCCGATGAGTAGTCCCATACCAGGACGACACGGTCGTCTAGTACTTCCAGGTTTCTAACGATGGTCTAACTATGATCGATTCATGATTTATGAAACTTATTAGATAGGTCAATAATAGTAATTTTATAAAATATTCTACACATTTTTTTCTCTCTCTCAGAATTTACCAACTTATAAACAAAATGCATATTTTATTCAAATGGATGATGACAGTTGTACTGGTAATGAAGATACACGTGCATTTCTTTTAGCTCAACTAACCAACCATCGAGTTTCCGAAGTATACTGTCTAGCATGTCAACAAATCTTATCCATTTATGATCATTTCCCTGTTATTAATGGTATATTCTTCATCAGTCCATTATGTCATCGTTCTAATGAAGGTTATCGTAAAGGTGGTGGTCTACGTATTACATGGCATACAAATGGTATACAAAATCAATCTGTTCAACAACATATTCATCGTACACACAATACTACTAACAACTCGGATAACAGTAGTAGTAATAGTGGTAACAATATAATTTCATCCACTAATGATTATCAGTCGATCAATCAAATTGCTTTGAAATTATTAGCTCCATTGAAAATTATCTCACCACCGCCTGGTTGTCTTGGACCAAGACAACAGTTGAATTCAACACAGCATAATCTAATTAATACTGGTGCAATTGGCTGTGCAGGTTCAAATCAAACTACTGGTAGTTGTAATAGTAGTACTACTAATACTACTACTAATACCAGTAGTAATATATCATCTAAGTATTCAACAAATTATGCATCAACTAGACAATGTCGTTATTTACATGCTTTATGCATGAATTGTATTCATTCAACTAATTCAACTGTGAATGATTTGAAAAGAATTCAATGTAAAATTTGTCATAAACCATGGTCTGGTAAGTGCACAGCATAGATTTTTATTTGATGGGAAAATTGAATTCAATTATTAAATGTTCAATGTTAGATTGATAATTGGACACCTGAAGGCCATTGGATGGATGACTGGTTCGTTCTAGTTTGAGATTGATTAGCTGAATATATCAGTTACATAACAAAGTTGATATTTAGTTTGAAATTCAAACTCATTATCCATTTACTTCAGACGTCATTACTCATTACTCCACTTAACTACTATTGACTTGTGTATTATAGTGTAGTTTGATTCATTTATATGGACTGTTTGTATCGTTCGGTTTGGGTTCGAGTCCCAACTCTAGGATGCAAGTAAATCCAGTTAACGACAAGTCCTAAATACGAAAAAAACTTAAACTAAACGCTTATTTCTTCAAATAATATCCTTTTGTCCAAAAATTTACTTGATTGAGCTAGGTTGCTCAACTACCGACTGCCTGAGTGAACGATGTTTTGTGATGTAGGGGTAGTCTGGAAGAAACATAAAGGCGGCCAGAACAAAACATGGAACAAATCCATGAAGTTACTGACAAGTGAACTGAGTCATGTTGGTAAGTGTAGACTACCTGGTTGGGGACAGTGAGATGATAGTAACCGATAGTGAGAGACCTATGACGAGATGGCTTAAGATTGGTTGCAATTACACAGATGCATCCATTCGTTGTCTTCTCTGAAAGTAGTTTCTGTTGTCTTTTTAAATTTATTTCACTGGGATACACTTTTAGAATGATATCTTCGATCACTAATCTTTGCCATCACCGCTAATATTTCTACTACCTTTACTAGTATGGGATTGGAATTGTCAGTTTGATCTCGTTGCACAAATGTGGTGGTATGGCAACTTGAACCGGTGTACATACGTACCAAGTTCTGCGTTGTAGTTGACTGTCTGTCTGACTAATTCTAAACTGTATGATATACGTCTAAATTCTCTTCCAAAATGTAGTGACCATTAACACCCTATTAGAAATGTTTGTGAAGTGTTTAGGCGAAAGCCTGAGTACCAGTGGTATTCATGTAACGCATGAGAGACAGTCTGTGTTAGGAAATACGTTCATCTCGATACGTAGTTATGCTTGTGTGAATATCAAGAAATACATGGGTGAGACATTGTGTGTTTCCTATATGCGTGTAATGTATAATTGACCACTGGAGTAAGTATGCTTATATGTATGTCATGACATATATATGCAGTAAAAACTCATGTGCTTTTGATATGCATTAAACATACACTTGCTCCTGATACGATAGCGTGTGCAGTTAACGGCCTAGAGGGAGACCCCCTAGAACTCGTCCGACATCAGAAAGCCGACCCTAACCTTCGGGAGGTAATCAGAGTGATAAAAGAGGGAGAAGATGTTGACAAGAGTAGAACAGATAAAGAATTAACAGTGTTGCTGAGGCAGAAGGAGAGACTGAGAGTGAACGGATACGGAGCCTTGACCTGGCGGGATGATGACGAGAATTGGGTAGCAATAATCCCAAAAGATCTGCGCCAGGAGATGATTCGTGGATGTCACCAGGTAGCGCATACAGGTATTGCACGGACAACTGATTTGCTGCGACAAAGTGCGTACTGGCCAGGTATGAGAGACGATGTTGCACGATATGTATTAGCGTGCCAGCGATGTCAACTAATGAAAGGAGATCGATGCATACGACCGCCATTGCAGTCAATTCCAGTAACAGCAGTTGGTGATTTGTGGTCAGTAGATGTTATGGGACCGTTCCCGCAGACGACAAGTGGTAACCAGTACCTGCTGGTGATGACTGAGCATGCCACACGATGGGTAAATGCCGTGCCGATGGCGGACCAACGTGCAAGGACGGTGACGCAAGCGGTAATGCGGCACATTGTGGCGGACCATGGGATACCAAAGATAATATTAACCGATCAAGGTCCCTGTTTCGAGAGTGATGAGTTCAAGTCCCGTCTAAAGCAGTTAGGTATCAAGAGAGTACGAACAACGCCGTATCATCCACAGACGAATGGGTTAACGGAAAGGAATAACCGAACGCTAAAGGAATGGCTAGCATCTAAAGGGGGTGACTGGGAGAAAGAATTACCATTAATCTTGCTGGCACATCGTGCCTCGGCACAGGGAACAACCAGGAAGTCACCGTTCCAGCTGATGTATGGCAGACGGCCGAGACTACCAACGCATGATAAAACCTGGCCGCAACAACAGAGGTGGAATACAACAAGACTGAGAACAGAGCGGAGACAAGCAATCAGGAATGTGAGAGAGAAACAAACGTCAGACATGGAAAAGTCAGAACAGGAGAGAAAGAACTGGAGATTGTTTGAAGTGGGAGATCAGGTGAAGTGTAGAGAACGGAAATATACCACAGGAAGAGGGCCAGGGTCAGGTAAACTGATCCCGAAGTGGGAGGGACCGTACGTCGTCACCGAGAGGCGCGGCGCAGTGTATACGATCCAGAAAGGAAACAAACAGAAACGCGTGAATGCCAGTGAACTCCAAAGGTGGTTCCAAGTGCGCCAAGAGGGCGAGCCACAAACACTGATGAAGAAGACGGCTGTACGGAGATCAGAAAGACTGCGACGACAGCTTATTAAAAGGGGGGACGAGTGTGGTGCTGTGGTGCGAACTACTTATAAGTAGTATATAGCGTGAGTGTCAACGTAAAGTCTGGTAGCATAATATGGGGGGAAGATCAAGAAAGGAAGAGTCAGAAAACAATGGAATTTGTATGAAACGCATGAAGAGTGACAATGGATTGATGTTTGGCAACAGGAACAGTCCAGTTCCATAGGATGAACTGATCTTTTGCAAATGAACGATTTACGATATGGTTTTCCGATTTTACTGAGTAACTCTGTAATTTTCGTTAAATACAATTCCGTTGCCTCCACCTGTGTTCTCACTCACTACATTTGGCCTCAATATAACTGATTCTCTCCTAGAAGTGCCCACTTAGTGTGACCAAATCAAGTTTCACCAATTTCAATGACACTAACACCTTTCATACCAAAGGAAGTTTGCATAGATATCAATACATTCAAAAAATTGCTTGTATTTGATAGATTTATCAGACAAGACCAAATGTAGGGAAAATAGATAAAGACTGGTTGATAAAACTGTGAATCATCAATTGAATCGACCAGAAAATATGTTTTGCATATCCAGCCACTATCTAACTCGAAGTAAAATTCCTATTTGGCTTAAAAATAGATTAAGTGAAATTTAGGGATTGATTGTGTGAATTTCTTATTGGTGTTTATGTTAGTGAAGTAATGTCAATTTTATTCTCATTATGATAACATTCAGTTACAATGTAAAACTTCGTCTGTACGTACGTACATTAGTTCGAGTTACCATACCACATTAGCTCAAAAGATGCAACTGTCATTTCCATATCTCATGTTGGTAGAGATAGTAGAATTATTAGCAGTAATGGAGAAGATTAGGGTTCGTAGATATTATCCAAGAAGTAGAATCTAGTAAAATAGACTTAAAAAGATAAAGTGATGAGGAATTAAAAAGTTTAGGATTTGAGAGAACACAGAGAATGACTGCACCTGCACCATTGCAAACGGTTAGCGAGCCATGTCATTCAGGGTCTCTAACCATCGATTACTAACACCTCGCGGACCCCAACCAGGTAGTCTACACTTACTAACATGATTCAGTTCACTTGTCAATGACTTCATGGATTAGCTCCATGTTTTAGCCGTCCCTAGTTTTCTTCCAGACTACCCCTACATGAAAAAACACCGCTTGTCGAGAGAGTCGGTAGTTGGGCATACGTATCACATGCCCCAACCACCTCAGTTAGATAATTCTTTAAATAATTTCAGAAATATCTCATCAACTGTTTCATCCTTTCGTATAGAGCTCTTCAGTAGTGTGCATACATAAAACCCATTAGGTTCAAACGAAGTACATTTTTTGGGTGTAACAATGAATGGTTAACTATTTAGAACTATTAAATCTATTTCCGATAGTATCGTATCACTTTCAATCGATTGAAAGTTTATTACTAATAATGATAATCGCTTATCTGTTGGTATATTCAGACTCTACCAAATGATTAACTCTCACTGAATCCTCAGGTGTAGTGAACGAGAACACAGGTAGGGAAACGAAAATTACAGAGTCACTCAGTGAAATAGGAAAACCATATCGTAAATCGTTCATTTGTAAAATATCAGTTCATCATATCGAATTGGACTGTTCCTGTTGCAAAACATCAATCCATTGTCACTATTCATGCGTTTCATACAAATCCCATTGTGTTCTCGCTCTTCCTTTTTTTGATCTTCCCCCATCTTCTGCTACCAGACATTACGTTGACGCTCACGTCATATACTACTTATAAGTAGCTCACACCACATAGGTACATATTTTTCTGGTAATTCACTGGTTAACTGAATTTGGGTTATGAAGCTCTCATTCTAGGATGAAACTACTATATTCCTTATGTTTCTTGGTTTCTAATGAAAATCCAAATGAGAATAATCTGTAACGAATACTGTTTTTTGAAATATTCACGTATTGAATCTTATAACAATAACTTTTCATTAACATACGGGAATTTCTGGGAAATAGTAAAATTTTTCTTAATTTAAATCAAAAACTGATCTTAGCTTGATCATCATTAGAAACCTAGATAAGGGAAATAGAAGTCTGTTTCGTCCAACTATGAGTCTCGTCAGCCGTACACATTCCGAATCCCTCATACGAGATAGAGACTTGATTACAGTTAGACATCAACTCTCATTAGTGGTCCAAAGATTAACATCGAAGTTTCTGGATACCTCGTTGTTGGTACACAACACTGAAGTATCACTTACAAGGTTGCAACAATCCTTCAGTACTTTCTAATTCCCCATAAAAGTCCAACAACTAAGATTATTTAATGATTTAAAAACCATGAAAATATGAATTTCATTTGTCTCTTTTTTACAAAATTTCAAATTCATCAACATAGTTAAATGTAGAGGTTAGATTTTTTTCGTCAT